TTTGCATCATCTGATGGACAAATGGCCAACTTCAACAATACAGTGGGTTGAGCACTTAATCAGGCCATCCATTTTTGAATGGGTGGCCTATGTGCAATACACACATCAACAAACAATGGATATTTGTTTTCCCTTTGCTGACATCAATGCACAAAAACTAAGATTATGGCATCCGGTCCCATCACTTCCTGGCAAATAGATGAGGAAGAAATGGAGGTAGTGACAGATTTTATTTTCCTGGGCTCCAAGATCACCACAGAAGGAGATCATAGCCAAGAAATTAAAAGATGCTTGCTCCTGGGGAGGAAAGCTATGGCAAATCTAGATAGCATACTAAAAAGCAGAGACATCACCCTGCAAACAAAAGTGTGTATAGTCAAGGCTATGGTTTTCCCAGTTGCAATGCATGGCTGTGAAAGCTGGACCATAAGGAAGGCTGAGCGCCGAAGAATTGAGGCCTTTGAATTGTGGTGCTGGAGGAGACTCCTGCGAGTCCCTTGTACTGCAAGGCGATCAGACCGCTCAGTCCAAGAGGAGATCAACCCTGGCTGCTCTTTAGAAGGCCAGATCCTGAAGATGAAACTCAAATGCTTTGGCCACCTAATGAGAAGGAAGGACTCACTGGAGAAGAGCCTAATGCTGGGAACAATAGATGGCAAGAGAAGAAGGGGACAGCAGAGGTTGGGGTGGCTGGATGGAGTCACTGAAGCAGTCGGTGTGAGCTTGAGTGGATTCCGGGGGATGGTGGAGGACAGGGGGGCCTGGAGGAGTGTTGTCCATTGGGGCACAATGGGTCAGACAGACTTCGCGACTAACAACAATGCACAATTATGCCTAAGAATTGGACTACAACTTGTCCTATATAAAGTGCATATGCCTCTATGTTGCCAACATACCTATTGTAATGGATATATTCAAACCTTATGAAAGAAAACTGTAATTAGAGGTTTTTTATATTTATTGTTTCCAGTTCTGTTTTGATTTACTTTAAAATTGAAATAAACATTAATGAAGGAAAAAAGAGAAGCAACTTAGGAAGCTGCCCTAATCTAAGCAGATATGCACACACACATACATCCAGAAATCCCACAAGTAACATGATAACATCTATCATTTTTTTGAGAGCCCTTGCCCTCAACAATTCAAACTAGTCCCCTGAAACAATCTTCAAATTATTTTCCAATTAAATTTAAACAGTCCAAACTTTACAATATCCTAAGACAAATGGCACAAATTCATTTACTTTCAAGGAAAAAAAATGTAGTTGCTAAGGATTTAAATGACAAACTTACCCACTTCCACTACAAAGTCTTTTATTTCCTTGGAAGCATCATCACACTTTTATGCCTCTTAATCCTCTGAATACAGCAAACACTTCTTGCTAGTCTCATTTACAACATAGAAAGTGCTCTTTTCATTATCAGGTTTCTTTTTATCTTCTTTCTTAAGATAATGTTGTAAACTTATCTTGGTTACTAGAGTCCTTCACAAGAGAAAATATGCACTGATTGTAGCTATCATTTGCCTCTGGTAAAATAATAACTACCACCAAGTAGGCTGGGAAAGAGACAGTCAAAATCTTTTCACACTCTACACAGTTGTGGTTTGACCATGATCCTGTGGCGATCCAGCTCAAAGATGGCACCTTTTCTGGAGGCAGATTGGCCTCCAGAAGCAGCTTCAAGGAACAAGGCAGCTCCATGTTTACTGTGTTCCTCCAATTCTGAGGTAAATGCTCTACCTTCATATTCAGTGAGAGCTGCTGGATGTAAGAATTAAGACTGTAGCAGCAACTGGGAGATTCGAGATCAAATTCCCACTTAGCTACGGAACTCACTGGGTCATCCTGAGCCAGCCACTGTCTCACAACCTAGCCTATGTGTTGTGAGGACAAAATGGTGGATGGAGAAATGCCACTTCAAAACGCCTTACTCAAAAGAGTAAGTGGGATGTCCATGATATGAAATCACAAGTTAATAAATTGTGATTTCCCCACCCCAGTCCATCTACCATTCACAAGCATGGAAGCTGGGGAGAATCTATATCTGCAGCAGAGTAAGATGGCAAAATATTGGGATAATAGAATGGACTGCACTTTTTCAGGCTAAATGAGGTCAGGAGAGACCATTTGTGGGTGCTCCCCAAAATATTAAAACTAGTCATTCTAAGCAGAAATGGTTCTGGCCCAGCCTATTCCATGCCACAATTTCTTTCGTTCTTTCTACTTGCAAAAAAAAAAGGGCATGTGTGTTTAAATGTAGGGAAACTCTCTCTTTTTTCTTTAAGACTACCCCTCACCTACAGTCTTAAACATTGCAATCCAGTTTGCTGGACAATCCATGCTACTGCCAGCAGACGCTACTGCTTCACTTTTTGACTCCTTCTCCCCCATGTATAAACCAGGCCTCAGAAAATGTAAGGTAATTAGAAAAAAAGAAGACACGTCTTCTTTATTTCCTTAGTTAACACAATACACAACAGAACGTAGCCTATCTTACCTGTTACATACTTTGGTAGAAAGCATGTGCATGATTTTAGGGGTCATTTTGGGGGGCAAAAGTGAAAGGACGTGCCACTCCACTTATGCAACCGATGTAGGGCCAGCATATCTGACCTCTAGAACAACAGCAACACCAGCGGAACTTGTGGCCCAACAGCCAGTGTATCTCTACAAGTCCTGAAGTGCCTCCAATATCAGAAGCAGCAGGCCTGTGTATATCAGGGGGCTGTCACACTCACATCCTGCTTGTGCAGTCCTGTGCATTTGAACGGAAAGCTCTTTAGATCCAGATCCAACTACATCCCACTGGTTCTCTCCATTCTACCAGACTGCCGTAATGCCACTGTATCTCGCTTCCCCTTTAAAACCAGGCACTCCAATGCTCCTATCCTGCCTCACAAGCTTCTAGCATTTGCGCCCAACAGCCAAAATGCAGGATGGACATTTCACCAAATGTCTCTGGCTTGTGTAACCTGTTTTTTAGCACTTAGACTTCTTGGACTGGCTATCAGAATTGTCCTGATTTCATATGGAAGGCCATCCGAAAATGGGATGGTGTCACGTGGTGTCCTGCAACAGCAGGGGGTTGGACTCGGTGGCCTTCACAGCCCCTTCCAACTCTACTATTCTATGATTCTATCATTGTTCATGAACAGCTTCGGATGATTTTATCATTATCAAAAGGCAGCCAATAAACACACAAATGAACAGTCTCTTACCTTCTGCAAGCATTAATGCAAGTGATGTAGCCGAGGGCAGAGGAATCAGAAATGAGAAGGGAACTTATCTCACTTGCTCTGAGATTTGAAAAGTCATAATTCGCAGATCCCTAGAAAAACAACCTGGCCCAGCCATCTTCAGCTCAAAATACCAAGGTGCACATTTCACTGTGTCGCTGTCATGCAGCCTGCACAATGCACTCCTTGTTTGCATATATATATATGTGTGTGTGTATACACACACACACACAAACCCCTACTCTAATCAAAATTTAGTATGGTTAGAACAAAAATGAAAGGAATGGAAGGAAATCCATTTAGGACATTATAAGCTTCATGAAAGAAAGAAGGGAAAGCAATGTAATATCAAAAGATGGAGGGGGCAGATTTTGGTTCATAAATATTTGAATATATGCATTTGAATCTCTGTACTCAAAGACTTCTTATACTGTTTTGAATTAGACTAGTTCAGTTTTTCCTCCTGCTTAATTCTTCTGGTGAGAGAGAAGAGGGCAAATTTGTAAACAAGGGAGACATAATAGAGCCGAAAAACATTCCACATCTGCATCCTGCCCTCACCAGGAAGAAACACCCTCTTTTAACTCAGTGATATGGGAACATTCTCATCAGGCTCTCCATCTCTGAACTGACACGCAGTCCAGCGTATGTGGAAAAGAAAATTAAAGACCATTTGTCCAACATACAGGGGTTCCATCCTTCGTGTTTTCCATCACCAGCTGCAGCTATTCCTGTCTATGGAAAGTTCACATGGTGAGCCATCTGTTGGCTAAATTCTAGTGAAAACAACTTGGTTCGATCTTTTACTTGCACAATGGAATGGGAATGGGTGCCAACAGATCCTCCCGTCCCATTAACATTGTACACCTTTTCTCCTTAGTGTGTCTTGTCTCTGATTAGATTATAAACTTGCAGGCAGGGTCTGTTTCACTTTTAAAGTTCTGCTTTTTTGTTTGTTTTTTGTTCATTATTATTACTAATTAGAGGCAAGTTCAAATTGCCACTTACAGAAGAGTCAGTACTTATGACTGAATGGAGCATATCTTTAAAGGCACACAAACTCATATAGAGGTTAACTGAAACAAATAGACACTTCAACCGTGCCAAAAACATGAATAGGCTTTAACCCAATATACCTGACACAGTTTCCTGGTTTCATTGGAGGTACCAAAAAATTCCCTTGGGGAGCCTTGAACTTCCACCCCACAAAGAGGTAACGTTCCCCAGGATTCACTGGAGAGGGATCTCCAATATATGAAGTTTACAGAGCAGACAATTACCTTCATACACAAGTTACAAGGTTTGATTCTGGTTTCAGTATGTTCTATTGAAAAAGCACTAGGAGCATCCAGGAACACCTACAAACTACCACAAATCAAAACTTAAATAGGGGCTATGGGTACATTTTGAATTCAGAGCATCTTCTGCTGAAATGCACTTAAGCACCTCTTGAAAAGCAGCCAGGAAAAGCTCAGCAGTTTCTTCAACTTAGATGCACCTCTGCAGTTCTCAGTGCAGGGAGGTCATCTCCTTCCCTTCCAGCATACGAGGATCTAGGTAATCAAACCATGCCAAGTCAGCGCAGCAAATCAAGCCTTGCAAGCTGACAAGCCTTCCGCAGAGGTTGCTGATAGCACAGATCTTGCTGTCTCCAAGCCAGATGCTGGTGCAGAGGTGAAAGGAGATGGGCACCGCCAAGCTTTCCAGGGCAGCCACCTGGCTGTGTAACAGGGGCTGCAGCAAACTAGATCCCATACCAAGGAGGCCACCAGTGGGCAGAGCCGGTCAAAGGTGACACAGCTGCTGCACAGCATCTGTTCCACAAAAGAGCCCATATCCTGAACTGTCATGAAATTGGCCATGGAGTAAATTTGCAAAATTCTTACAATGTAAGATCAAAGCAACGGATTTTTTTCTTTCATTCTTATTTTAAATATAACAACAAAAATGCCACCTGTGGGGCCCAACATGGGCAGGTATGTGAAGGGAGCAGGTGGGGCCCCTCTGCACAGGCACCGTAGCACAATGTGATGTAAGAAGAGATAACTTTCCCTTCTAGTTTAAATACATATAGTATTCCTACATGGCCCTAGGGATACACGGACACTGGGAAATCTGGTTCATTTGCCTGCCTGCTTGCCACTGGAAGCAGACCAGGACAGAGAGGGTTCATGGTTCTCCATCTCTAAGAGGGGCTGGGATTGACTGATTTTAAGGCTAAGGAAATTTGCCAGAATCTTGTGATTTGCACAAATAAGAAGCCAAGAACTACAAAGTTCTTGCATGACTTGTGCAAACCAAAAGCTAAGAACTACACCTGTCTAGCAGGATTTGCACAACTCACACTAGAAATATGTAGCTCTCAGGTTCAGATTTGTGCAAATTTCCTTAAACATTTTTCATTTAAAAATGTGCAAATCGTGGCCCTTCTTAGACATGGCAATCAGTGAGCTGGCTCAAGTCACAGCACAGTGAGTTGGTGCTAGCACAGAATCAACAAACCAAAAGCCAGGGCCAGGAAGAATAACTAAAATCCATCAAAAGTTCACCACCACCACCCTGCCTGACACATCCCTGCCTAACACGTTTCTTTGCAGGGCACTGCACATCTCTAGATTTTCAAGCAGCAGAACAACAAAGCTTTCACATACACTTGGCAATATTTTGCCAGCTACTTTTGAAAGAGTATTCGTTAAAATTTATAGCTTGCCATCAATGCTCAGCAATTCTCTCATTCACAAAGAAGAATGCCAACACTGAGGATATTAGCTTAAGAGACACATGACTTCTTGAAGGCACAAAAGTTTATAATCATTTAATATGCTTTCCTAAAAAGGATCAAGTATTCGGAAATCAAAAGTTTTCCCAGTGCACTAGAAACTGTATGCACAACAGACGCTCAAAAATCAGTGTATTGCCCTAGTTCCTTTGTTTCTCCTGATACAAAATGTTTTTAAAAACCACAAAATACTTCAAGCAGGTAAGAGAAAATATGCATATGCAATTTGGATAATTTAGCCCAGGTTTCAACTTTCCAAACACATAACTGTGACTGCCTGATCACAAATATTTTTGTTTACACATCCCCAAATATGACCAATCCAAATTATGAGAATCCAGTGTTATTACACAAGGGGTAATTCAATGCACCAGCCAGATGAAGCCAAGTTTTGAAAAAGGGTTTAAACAGACTGGTATCTGCCTCCAGATGCTGAGGCAGCTGATATGATCACTCTGATTTTTGAAACTAGACATGGACAAATACACAGAGAAGTAAAAACAAAAAACACCTCATTATTTCATCCATCCTGCAAATGTTTTTAGAAAGAGAAATGTGAAGGATTTATACAAGTGGAAAACCAAGCAATGTAACAAAAGTCAGCTTTCATAAACCATCTCTCTTCCCCCACCACTGACACATTCAATTAAATTCTCCTTTATTAAAACAAACATTAAACACTCCACCTGGAAAATACTATGCAAGCCAAATATTGTTTTAGCCACACGTTGTAGACAGCCCAGTGAAACTGGTCAAAAACTACATTCAGCTTTTCCACAGCGCACACCCTCTCTTGGGAACCAGAGTAGCTGCTGAACTGCTCATTGTTTTCAATCACCCCATACATAGAGGTAGAAACATTCAAAACATTTAGACTAACCCAATGGAGGTCTGTGTCCATTCCAAACAGCAAACTAAGGTCAGATTCATGAAATGTACTAAGCACCAGCAACAAGAAACTATTGAATGAAATGCTAGACTTCAGTTGAGGAGACATGGATTCAAATCCCACACTTCAACCGCAAAGCATACTGGGAGACCTTGGGCATGCCAGCAAAAGGACAAAGGAGATCTGTGGTCAAAATTCCATGCCGCTATTTTAAATATGACTAGTGGCTGGGGTTGGAAGGCCAACCCTATTCCACTTCCTCTATCAAAATTGATCCCTTCCCCTATTAACAGCAGCTGCTGATAGGCAGGTGATTAAGTTTAGGGCTATAATGCCAGGGGTTAAACTTTAAGCATTAACTCTTAGGCATTTTGGTAACTGGAATTATCCTGAATTATACGTGTGCATTTTTCCTATAGAGAGAAGAGCCATTTGCACTGGGAAAAGCATGAAGAGTAAAGAATTATCTCCCCCTTCAATGCTAGCAGTCCAATTCAAATTGCAGGTTAATCTCTGCTATATTTTCCTTTCTTTTCTAACTGTGGGAAATCCTGATCAGCCTAACCTATCCTACAGGGATATTGCATGACGGAGAGCCTTGCACATCAACCTGAGTTCCTTAGAGTAAGGGGAAATTGCGGGGGGGTGGGGGGGACACGGGAGATACCTTAGCACGACACCAAATTTCCTATTCTGCTAATAGAATTTGGCCTTAATTGCAAAATAACACATTGCTGCAAATTATACTTAGTTTGGAAGTTTTAAATGAACAGCATCTTTCAAGGGTTTTGTTGGGTCATATTGCAAGAGCTTACAAAAGCAATCTCAAAACATTTTCTGCCAAGATTGTAGCACAAGTTCCTGCACGTAATTCACCCAAAATGGTGCAGAAGTGAAGGGTGTAGGGTCAAAGAGAAGTCAGCAAGTCACTCTTCTGTTAAGAATTAAATAAAATCAAGACACAAAAGATTAGCATGAGAGAAGACGGGTGTAACGGCTCAACAACAGAACACATGCCCTCCTTGCACAGATCCCGCCACAAAATCCCTGTTATTCATCACCAAAGGAGACCAGGTGTGCAAAGCTAATGAACACTTTCTCCCAAGATCATACAGAGCTTGTCTGAACAGACAAGCCAGGGACGAATGAACCAAAGTTCTAGCTCCAGATAAGCAGAAGAAAAAAAGTATAAAGAAAAAAATAGGTAAAGGCCACACTAAAGCAATAGTTTTGCTAGATAATTCACAGCAAGAACTATGACCTAGATCATATGTAACACCAATTCATGAGTTAAACCACCCCACAAATTGCAGGGGGCTCCAGCTCTACAGGCTGCCACTAACATGTCCTCTGCTTCTACCTTTCATCTGCTTTCACCAACAAACAAGCTTCAAGCAGAGAAGGGTGGGCACAGGACTAGACAGCCACTGCAATATCCTCCCCAACTCTGTGATTCCATAATCAAGAAGCGGAGTGTCTATGCTCCTTCCTTAACTGCTCCACAGCTAGCAAATTCTGCAAAATGAAGATAGACATTTCTCTCCTTTTCCAAATCTTATATCAAGAGATTTGATGATGCTGGTGATGGTCATGATGATATGAATACATGGCATGTTTGTGTTCATAGTGATTCAAACATATCATCGTTTTGCAATTTTCACAACAATCCTGCAAGATAGACCATTGTTATCACCACCATATTGCACAATGGGCTGAAACAAGCTTGTTGCAAAACTAGGAAGTATCAGGCTAACTACTGAATTCATGACACAGAGAAGATTCAAACCAGGGAACTTCCCAATTCATACCTTTCAGTCTCCTAGAGACAACATTGCACTGCTTAGGTACACACAGCTCACCATCCTTGCACACACAACAGAAACATTCACAAAAACAGAGGCGCCATAGTGAGCTTCAAAGTGAGAAGAGGGAATCTCTGCCTCCCAAGGTAACAACGCCACCATTCAGAAGCCAGGGGAAGTTTGAAGCCCAAACGATTGGCAAAGCTTCTTCTGCAGCTTTCCTTACCCTTAGCAATAGCAAGATACAAGGTCAGATCTTGCCATTCTCCCCAGAAGCCTCAGTCCATCTCTTCTGACATGCGCAGCTGTGTGCACAAGAAAGGAGCCCTGTGGAGCCCACTTTCTTCAGGTGGAGGTACGAACAGCATACTGCAAATACGGCCGGATGTATTTTTTATTTATTTATTTATTAAAACATTTTTATGCCGCCCCATTCGCCGAAGCCTCGGGGAGGCTTACAACACTTCCGTGTACACACGGAAGGAGCGTATAACATCATTACATGCAGTGCGACATGTTATGTTCCATGCAATACACGTAATGGAGAGATGCACTGCCAAGCGCCAGCTGCATCTGAGCAAAGAGGGAGACACCAAGGAGACCTTTTTTTTATCATGTCAGAATACTGGTCCATCCAAGGGGACTCGGGAGGCTTGCTGCCTACTCTGACTAGCAGCAACACCCTGCCTGGTCTCTTCAACAGGAGAACCCCGGGGCATCCTGCATGAAAAGCACAGAGCTATGGCCCCCCACATGCTTGTGGATCTAGCCCTCAGAGCAGGAGGGACAGACTGTACCTTGGGCATTTCCATGAGTGAGGGAGGAGGACAGCCTTCATGAGATTTGCTTTCAACTGAAGCGTCACGTTGCTTTTTATGGGGGGGGGGGGCAGGAGGCAGGCACAGAATCTAAGTGAAACTGCTGCAGTTAAACCACTCTAATATAACCAGATTGTCAACGTACACAAAATAAGTTATCCACTCTAGTTACTGCCTGCACTTATGTAACAGACTCACACAGATCACTGAGGCAGATGGCCTCTTACATATACTACTACTTCTTGGCAGCTGGATGTCAAGGCAAGTACAAAGGGGAAAAGTGAAGCAATGTATGCTTACGAATTAATAATAAAAACGTCTAGTATGGTCCCATAATAGCTCCATTCACTGCCCAATGCCAGCAAAAATCATATATTCAATAGCCAGCTTATTTGCATACAGTGACAAGTTATACATACAAACTGCTTTCAAAAGTTCTCTTGATGGTACTTGCAGCCGGATCACTACAGCTGTATAACAATCCATTTCCCCTAGCAGGGGGAGGCATTTGTTTAGCCCTGACTGCCCCTTTAAAATATTATGAACCAGAAAGTGCTAGCTAATTCGCAGAAGTCTTTAAGCATGACATCTCATTTTTATAATTGGTTTTACAAACTTGAGGAAACCAAACCTCGGTCTTTGAAAAATCCTGATCCATAATGTGCAGGAGAAATCAGGAGAGCTAAAAAGAAATATGGATTGGATCCAAAGGTGACCTTCCAGATGTGAAAACAGTCTTCCCGTCACAGAAGGTCAGTTTATGCCTTGTGCTAGAGCACTGCATGAGAAATGTGGAACTACATCCAAAGATGTTCTGATTGTACAATCAAATGAGCAAGCAGAAGCATAAGAAATGCTTAAAGCATACCAATTAAATCACTCTGTGCAAGAACTTGCACAAACATTTCTATTGCAGCATTTAACAGCTGCTTTCCTTCCACTCATGGCCCTTCAGATCTAACCTCTTATATATGAGCTTCAATTTCTGTTCCTCGTTTTGCTTCGAAACATTTATCATCACTTGCTACATAGCTCTTCGGCATTGATGGCTACCTTGAGAGCAGAGGTAGTGCAGTGGTTAGAGCACTGGGCTGGAATCCAGGAGCTCTCAGCCTAACCTCAAAAGGGGGAGGGGGGATCAAGTAAGCCACCTTGAGCTCCTTGGAAAAAATATCTATTAGATATGTTAACTATAAACATACAAATAAATAAATGATGTCCAAGCTTCTCAGGTCAGTTTCTGGTGAGATGTCTTGGGCACTGGTACAACATATTGTTACTCAGGATGGTACTTGGGAATTAAATAAATAAATGGAAATAATTTTCATGGTGTGTAGTAAATTAAAAAAAAATAAACACATGCCTTGATGATCTATGTAGCAAGGCACATGCCAAAACTTTGTATTAGCAATTTGCATTGCTAACTTTCATTAACACACTATTTTCTACTACTTCTTAAAGTAAAAGCAACTCTAATTACTGTTTATTATTTCTCAGCCTTTTATAGATTTATATTACATCGTACATGCTTATTTGAGATTTCAAAACTATATTTCATACATTTCTTATTAATGCTTTCCTTTGTATTAAGCTATTTGTTTCATTTTAGATTCATTTGCATTTAACTCTGAACATGAAATTTTTCTGGGATAAAGTATTTAATTTTAAATATGTTTTCAAACTTTTTGAGGGGGTTGAAAAAAGTTTCTCATTTTAATATATCATGTCAGATCCATCAGCTTAATACAGACCCTTAAAATGAAGCCATTTCATGCTGAATATTGTGTACTGCTTGAATTCTTCAGTACCAGTCATCAGTTGAGTTCCTTTATACTACAATTTTAAAAAAATCTTTCCTGAACATTGAAGTTCCTCTGAAACAGATTCTTACAACCTCCGCAGGATTCCTCTGCCTATCTCCAATTCCCACTATTTTAATTTTGTCTCATTTTTAGTCAAAACATTGTTCTGCAAAGGTTTATGATATATTCATTACCAGCAGAATTCTGGCTTGTGTGAACCCCTTTTTCCTACCCATTCCTTTGCTCCATTTGTCCCTTCCTTTACTTTGTCAGCAATAACAACATGAAAAATTAAAAATTCTCAAGAAAACCCAAGAAAAAGGTATTTAAGAAAAGAATGGCAGAATCAGAAAATTATAGTAAGGAGCAGCTAAAGCAGAAGCAGGGAAAAGGGAATTTCAGTAGGGGAGGGCAAGATTCAAAGGCTCTTGGTTATGTTTTTTTCTTTTCTTTGTGATTGTATGTTGGTGTAAGCTAAGTCATACCTTACCACAAAGTGATATTAGACATGCAAGTAGTCCCATGCCTAACAATAACAGCTCAGTACTCAGAAGCAGTGAGCTGGCAAGAGATGTGGCTCCTCCTGAGAAATAATCACAAGGTGGTCTGATCTACTAGAAGCAGGAAGATCTCTTGAACTACTTTTCCCTAGCTCCCATCCACGTGAGGAAAGCGCCACATCCCACTATAAACACGATAATCCCTACCAATTTCCCTGTTTACATTTATGTACATCAAAATGTTTACCTACAGTGCTTTCTTGGACAAGAGACAATCATGGTCACAGCTAATTTTAAAGTGCATAGAAATGGGCTACTATAAAACACAGAGCAGAAGTATTCCAAGTCCGGAGTGCCATTTCTTTAAAGCTCTTGCTGCTCAACAGGAAAAGGATACGAGGAGTGCCTTCCGTCCTACACACCAGGTAGAGGCATGCAGCAATCACGTGGGCCATCTTCCTCCCACGGGTTAAGTGCTTGCTCACCGCCATCTTGAAAAAATTGAAGGCTGTATCAAGGCAGTGCTGGTTAAGTTGCAGCTGGTTTCCCAAATGATGAATCTGGCGTTTTCCTTTAACAGACAAAAACAATAATCATTTGCCAAGAATACACACACCATAAATTGACATTAACTTCGTTGCTCTATACAAGATTACAGACTTGCACTGTGCAACTTTACGCTCCAGAGAGTTGGAGAGGGGGGTTAAAATAAGGAAGTTCACAAAAGCAGTGGCGTTAAAGATGAGTCAAAGGTTGCATCATCAGCAGTGTTTTCATCTGAATGAGCTCACAGTGGAACTACTCCAGAGAGAGGGAACAGTATCCCCACCACTCTCCTCTCCAATTTAGAGTCGCATGTCTCAGCTTCCCAAACAGAACATATTCCACAGTAGCTTGGAAGCAGAGTCAACATTTTATTACAAATCTCCAAAACATTGGCAAAGCACGTTCTCAAATATTAAAGGCCTCTAGCCACAAATGCGGCAAAACCACAACAGAGGGAATCTGGTCATGCTCTCCAAGCCTGCCATTGCTGTGGAAGTACATCCTTCCTGCAGTCATATTGCGGAAGAGCAGAGTTGCCAGGCTACACAGATGAGGCTGTGGCTTCAAGAAGATGGAAGACCCTTCCTGCTTTGTTTGAAGCCCCTCTAGATGACTCAGACAAGGATGTGACCCAGCTGTTAATGTGGTTGCAGAAAGCAAAGCCAAGGCCCAGCTTGCTAAAAAGCACTTCAGCTGCAGGAAACTGTGGCAAGAACATAAGAGCAAACCCACGAAGAGCAGTTATGAAAGAACGGGATAAAGTGAGCACAGTATTCATGGACAAGCCAGTGAGTGGAGCATAGATTCAGTATGTAAGAAAGATGTTTCTCCCATGTGTGGTTACAGGAAAAATGCAGAACCTTAAAGTTTTACAGGGATATCAGAAACCTTTTACATTTCCATGTGGGCACAGAAGCATGCCAAGTGGCTTGCTTCACAGTTTTAGCAGGGCAATACCAGGCTTGCCAGAAAAAAAAAACACACAAGATCCACATGGGTTAATCTGCACTTCTAATCCACACCAAAACATCTCCATAACAGTGCACTAAAAAAAGAATGGCTATTGTGAGCAGTCAGAGCTTAAGGGGGACCAGCATTATCAAGCTACCTCCTGGGTACAACCTCTGTGAAGTGGACCACAACAGCCATCACCATCGCCACCAAATCTGTTGCATTAGCACAACATCTATGTATACTCTCCAGGTATACGGAGTCAGACCACTGGCGGATCTCTTTAATTATTTACAGCATTTGTATACTGCTGCATACCCAGGCAGATTCTAGAGCAGCGAACAGCAAAAGCTAGAAACAAATAAAAGAATACAAACAATGTATTAAAAACCAAGCAACATTAAGAACTGTGACTGGTCAGCAAGAAAGGCTTCCCAGAACAGACCTGCCATGAGGAAGGAGGCTCTCCATGGCTACTAGCTTTGCTGACTATGTGCTACCTCCTTCATCAAGGTGGCATGCCTATGTACACCAGTTCCTGGGGAGCTCAGGCAGGAGCAGGTCTTGCACCCATCCTGCTGGAAAGTTCCTGCGGGCAGCCGTTTTGCCACATGAGTACAGAGTGCTCGATTACATGGCCCTTTGGTCTGACCTGGCATGGCTTTTATTATATTCCTCAGAAGACAAAACATCACAGTGTTGATGCCTGCCTGACCTTCTGAGGTATGGAATTGGAAGAGGTTTTTAATCAGACCTCGAATGTTCTCATGCTGGTTGTTTAAAACTGTTTTTTGATATGTGTCTCTTTGTTAGACGCTGATATATTTGTATATATGCTTATGGATTCTATAGTGTATTTTTAAGGTTTTTCCACTTTGTAAACTGAGCAGAGAGCTTCAGCTATTGGAAACTATTGGAAACTATTGGAAACTATTTGAAATGAAATGAAATGAAATGAAATGAAATGAAATGAAATGAAATGAAATGAAATGAAGGCTCTTCTTCTGGTGGCCTCCAGTTGGGCCAATGATTATTTCTGCATTTGCTTCAATCTGAGGCAGTGGTGGCTCTCCAGGTATTCCTAGCCATACATCAGCCCTACCTGAAGACTTCAGCATTAAACCTAGAATCTTATGCAAGCAAAACAGCTGCTCTTCCACAGAGCTATGACCCTTCCCTCTACCCTGTGTCGAGCTAATTTGATTGAAGAAACATAATCCTGGCCACTGTTACCATTTTAGTGATCTCCCTGCAATACTCTCAAACCACAACAACCTCAACACAGAATATTCTCCTACTAGAACATCTGGGTCTCTGTGCGTATCTGTTATTAGTACTCATATACCATCTGTTGGTGCTTATATACTAAGTAATATTAAGCAATATTAAAGGAATATACATCCCCCTGACCTGGCTGAACTGAGTCTGTTATGGAGTGCAGGATGCAAGGCTGCATTGAGTGGTCCAGATCATATCATCTAATATAATCAAAGTATGTTCTCAGCTGGCAACAGTTTGCTAAACGATTCTGCTAAGCTTACCATAGGGACTGAATGGGAGCAATGTCCAGGGATTTACGAACGGCTACTGACTAGGAGCAGCTGAAACTAGGTAGAAGCAGCCTCAGCTCTTCAACTTGAAGACTATTTGGTCAACTGTTGGACGTGCGAAAGACCCTGCTGATCAAATATTTGTTCTTGGAGTTGATCAACTGTTGCCTATAAGCTCATGTGTACAATTTTAATACACGACCCAAAAGTTGACTTGTGTTCTCCAAATCAGAATAAAAACTGGTGCCAGAAACATGGGAAATTATTCATGCGTCTTCCTCCGCAATGAATTGCTTTGATTAAATCCAACCAAGCTTTAACTGAGCCACCTGGAGTCTCTCTCGTGCTCTCTCTCCCCCCGCCCTCTATGCTTGCCTATATGTACACCCTTTCATAAGGGACCTCAAGAAATGAGACTCTGAGGCACCATCCGGCATGACCCATGTCCACAGCACTGCCAGTCCCCCTAATTACCAAATGCCAACTCCAGCACCTTTTTCCCCTAATTAAATAAAATTGCTTACAGATGCGCCAGTGCTGTACTGGTTTGTAGCCCAGACAATAAATCAAGTATTCTGAAAAGCAGTGCCCAACTGTAATTAAAATGGGACGTACAGGTTAATCAGCAATTACATTTTTCATTTTGCTATGAAGAGCGCAGTGCACCCACCATTATTTTTAATTCCTAAGCCTCTTTCACAACAATAATCTGTACTCTGATCTTAAACCCCCCCCCCCACACACATACACAAAAAAGGAATTGTTCCTGCAAGCCTCAGAGCAGCTGTCTCTCAGGTTGGCTTCAAATGTCCCGAATTACCAAAAGAAAATCAAATCCACATAGGAATTAGCATGGAACCTGAAAGTAGATTGTAATGTGATCACACACACACACACACACACTTTCCTGCATACAGATGTGCTGGGAGACTGCAACGAGCCAGAGCTACGCAGCATGAATACGCGGCACGCACCCACAAACTCTGATTGCTTTGTTACGCCCCACACACAGGTTGCATGCTAATTCCTAGACAGAAGTAAGTTCCCTGAACCAATTTTGGTAATGTTTGGCAAAGACTGCATTTTTCTCATGTTCAGGGAAATGAGAAACACCATAATTTAGCACTCAACTGTAATGAAATGCCATTCTCCTCTGTCTGGGTCTACAAGAAAAATAGTATGATTTTATTGTGGTTTTATGTTTTGTATAAATTGTAAGCTGTGTTGAGAGCCCATTTAAGCTAGTAGTGCAGATAAATATATATATTTCTCAATTTATAAAATCCTAGCAAACTATATGCTGATATATATATATACACACACACATACCACTAACTACTTCCCATTAAGAGCAAAATCTACTGACTTGGCCAATATAAGGGCTTGAAAAAAACACAAAGAACCAATCTGAACATCCAAACAGGCAATGTTTTAATAATTTAATGAATTTAGAAGCCCTGTTGCATCAAAGCAAGGATCTGTCTGATCCAGCATCTGGTTTGCAGCAATGATTAGCAAGAGGCTTTGGAGAAGTCAACAAGCAGAGTCCTGTAAGAAATATCTCACCCACACCCACCCTTCCCCATCCTGCACATGGCATCTGAAGACTTATTGTCTCTGACATGTTCCTACAGACCAGGCTTCCCCAGCCTGGTAAAGGTCGGCAACAGGTTAGGGAAGGCTAGTCACCACCATATATTTATTTTTTATTTGATTATATTATACATAAGACTGAGAACAGGAGGAGGAGAAATGTAAGCCACTTTAAAAAGTTCTTAAAAAAAGAAAAAAGCAGGTTATAAGTCTAACAAATACAGTAAAATATTTATATCCTGCCTTTTTTCCTTTCAAGTAACTCAATGCCGGTTACACAATTTTCCTCTTAGTCTTATCCTCACAACAACCCTGTAAGGTAGGTTGGGTTGAGAGTCTGTGACTGGGTCAAAGTCACCCAGTGAGCTCCACGGATGTGTAGGGACTAGAGCTCGGATTGCCAGACCTGAGCTCTTAACCACTACACCACACAAAATCTTTGCACAAATGGAGGCAGGTTTGGAGTAGGGGAACAGAGGGAAATGGAAAGGCAAAGGGGTAGAGGGGAGAGAAGAAGTAGTTAGAGATTAGAAAGTGAAACGAATAAGAATGAGTACCTATCATTTTCCAAGGTTTCGTTTCGTTTCTTTTCGTTTCTTTTCGTTTCTTTTCTTTTCTGAGTGCAGGGCATGGATAGTTTTGTGAGCGCTGTTGGGGGTGCAACACTGGAGACTACCATTCCTATCTGCTTCCTGACACTTCATAAGAATTTCAAAACACTGGGGATGCAGGACATCCCTTTGGGAAGCCATGCTGATTCATGGAATCATGAAATAGTCGAGCTGAAAGGGGCCTAAAAAAGCCACCAAGCACAATCCCCTGCTCAACACAAGACTCCAAGTTCAAGCATGTCTGACGGTTGTCCAAAGGCCTCTTGAATGCTTCCAATGTGGAAGAGCCCACAGCTTCCCGAGGTGGTTCCATAGCCACT